TAAGAGAGCTGATGTTCGGCTCCCACTCGAGGTCCTGGGTGATGATGGTGCCCAGGAAGCAGAAAGACTCCACAGGGTCCAGATGCAATTTAGCTGAGATTTAATATAACCTGTGGAGTTCTGACCACCAGTGCAGCTACAGAGCAGTAATGTAACACTCTACCAGCACATCCATAAAGTAATATAGGTAGCCTGGGTAACACTATGCACGCTTCAGCAGATGACTCCACAAATCCTGTGCCTGACCTCCAAACAACGAAACGGCAGCAACAAGCAGTGAAATGCGATTACGTTGTCATGCAGTGTGTGGATATATGTAAACAGTGCAGCTATTAGAACATTTATGGCGATTGTGGAACGTGTCTTTAATCACAGTGTACTTAGCGCTGCTCCCGCTCTTAAAGGACGGCACAAGACGTCCCCGGCCGGCTCTTTTAAATCTGAAACAAAGCCTAAATACCGATAATGGTCCTTGAATAAACAGCCCACCTCTGACACTGCTGCTACATTACGGCTATTATGAGCCAATACAATTTTCTAAATGTAATGCAGACTGTGTTTGTAATATTCCATCTGTGGATTTGATTTATGATCTTGTAAATGTGTTTGTCAGTAAGCCTCGGCGGGCAATCATCCAGCGACAGAAATAATGCGAGAGACTGTGAGGTTTCGCAGACACACTAGACTCCCAATCTGTCAGGCTTTTACCAAAAGAAAACACACAGTCTAATGCTGGATTCACAGCCCGCGCTTTTACATCCTTCACTCGTAATGCTTTTGGCTGACACGCGGGATATAAGCTGAAAACTCTCAGTTCTCGTCTGCTCCTCGTAGCGCTGTGGCTTTATTGAATCTAAACTAATCGTTTGTCTCTCCACAGGTTGTCACTTTGCTCAACGATCTGTACACGTGCTTTGACGCCATCATCGATAACTTCGATGTATACAAGGTGAGTCGGGATGATCAGTTTTAACTCTGATTTAACTAAGGTCCCCTAACATGTGGAGTTAATTAATTAACTTGAACCGACACAATCCACACCCACGGACACCACAATAGAGTGAATAAATATAATATAATTTCTGCTTTTGGTCTTTTTAGAGGTATTTTTTCTTCTTCAGTTACACGGATGTTTTGCAGCTAATCACAGAATCACTGATCGTATCTTATCATATTTACTCTATTTTTATTTGACTTTTTTAAGGATTATTTCATCTCAAATCATAAAATTTTTATCTCTAATTTGCCCCATATTTTTCTTAGCATAAAATATTGATATTTAGAAAGATATCTGTGAAATTTTAGCTTACTAGCTTTGCTTTTTATTGGCTAATTTTTATTTTATTTTATTTTTTAATCTCCCATTGACAGATTTTTATGAGGCTATGTTTGAACAACAATATCTCAGGAAATATTAAAGATAAAAGGCTGGAATTTTTACTGTTATTTCTCATCATGTCGTTGATTCAGAATCTGCAATACTCGATCAAACTATCTCTGGTTATATGTGAGGTAAAATGTGAAAAAAAAAATGGAGACATCATGAAAAGTCCCATCTTTAAACATAAATTAACCAAAAATTTGATAATGCAGAAGTCAGCTGGTGATATTTTCTGCTACAATAATACAAAACAAAACATGTAGAATAAATATTAATGTAAAATACGTGGTTACAAAAATGAGAAAAGCTTATTTTTATTGAACTGTCAGAATGGATTGAGCTGGAATGACAAGCTGCCCCACAAAACGCTGAAAAATCCAAGCAGAAAGTCGGTCAAGGGATGATATATATATATAGATTTTCTAAGCTAACATTTCACAGATACCATTTTGAACATTGATAGAATGAAGTTTCAAACAAATCAGAGATGAAGGCCCCTGATGATCTGATCTGTTCGAGCGCACTAGGAAGCAAAGACTCCCTGTTGGGAGGTACAACAGCAACTTTACTAAAGCCTCCATCTCCTGTGATTGCTCCTTCATCAGGTGGAGACCATCGGCGACGCCTACATGGTGGTGTCGGGGCTGCCGGTGAGGAACGGGAAGCTCCACGCCAGAGAGATCGCCGGGATGTCGCTGGCTTTGTTAGAGCAGGTCAAAACGTTCAAGATCCGACACAGACCCAACGACCAGCTGAGACTCAGGATAGGGATCCACACAGGTGAGTCTGAGCTCTAACCCTGACCTGGAAATCTGATTCAATTATGTTAACTCAAGTACTTAAGTACAGTGATGGGCTACTTGTGCTTAGTTGAATATTTCCACCTAAACTACTTTATATTTGGTTCATTTCATCTCAAATCATCATTTTTTTAGAATAATTTCTGCTCAGCTGTCTCTGATTTGCCTGAAATTTTCATAGCATAAAATATGGACATTTGAGGAAACATTTGTGAAAGCTTAGCCTGATATATGAAACTTTTTTTTTATAATTGCCTACTTTCAGCACATTTTTTGTGCACATAGAAATCTAACTATGAAAGGGACTGAATATAGCCATGATTTTTTCCCCCTAAGAAATAAGAAAAAACTGAAAAATTCAGGCTTTTATCTTAAATAGTTCCTTAAATATTGTTGTTCGAACAGCCTTTAGATTTGCAAAAAATGTGCTGAAGTTTGATCAACAAGCATTAAAAAAAAAAAGTAATCTCATAAAGTACAGAAAGTAAAATTTCAGAAATGCCATTTTAAGTATCTAAAGTTTATGATTAAAAAAAGTTTCAAACTAATGACAGATGGCTGAGCAGAAGTCCTATTTTTTTGTGTGTTGCTTTGCAGATTCAGTTTAATGATACAAAATTTAATCAACAAATTAAAAGAATTATGTAATATTATTGGATTACGATAAAACTTATTTGGCAAAACTTATTGTTCCCCTGCCCAGCAGTAAGTATTAAATTCACCGTTTTAAAGGATGAACACAATAATATAAGAGGCATTATTCTGCATAATGAGCACTTTTTTTTTTTGGTACTTTCAGTATATTTTGATGCCATTACTTGTCTTTAACTTAATAATTTAGATTCAGGACTTTTACTTGTAACAGGACTTCTTCCATGAAGTGGCTCAGACTGGAGACACGAGGTCCCAGCATTGATTACTAATAACGACCAAAGTTCAACCTGCTGAGGCGCTGAGCAAAGCACGCCGTCATTTATTATCTTTCGGGTGCAATTTTCTGCTGAGTGTTCGCTGCTTTCTGTTAAAGAGAGAACATTGTTAACAACAATCGATGGAGCAGGTTCATCGATCTCAGCCACACTTGTCCCCATTTTTGAGGCAATTTTGCGGCTGCTGTTCTCATTGATGTCGCTGCTTTTCCAGACACATGACGATCGTCGACCAACATCTGATTGGGCCCAGATAAGAAGCTCACCAGTAATGAGCAAAAACACCCGACTGTTTAGAACAAGTCGAAGGTCTGAATCAGGCCACTTGATTACTGCTGTGGTTAAACTTTTCAGCTCCCATTGAGGATACAATAGTTAGCTGTCCAAATATATGTGTTGAAAAAAAAAAAAGAGAGCATTTCAGTGGAAGGCTTTACCATGCACGACCTCGCTCTATCTAGCAAACAGAGGTTCTTGTCTTGAGTACAATACATTAAGTAAATTTAGTCATTCTTAACACCTAACTAATCCAATTTGTCCGGTCTACACTGTAAAAAATGTCAACAGTAATTTTTATGCACAATTTAGTGTTACTGTATTCTTAAATCACACATTAGCTTGTAAAACTGCATTAAAAAGTATTAATTTACACGTTTACCATAAAAACAGGTGCCAATAATCTGGATTTGTATAAATAGTATTTTGTTCTTGACTATAATAACACTGTTTTTACGGTACCCAAATCAGAAAAAAAAATTGTGTCATTTTAAAGACATTTGCAGTTGTGTGAAAGAAAAAAAAAGATATATCAAGGACGGAAAATGCTAAATACATTTTAAACTGTTATTTTACATATCCTCTCTGTTTTGTTAAATTACAGAGAATATTTTGTGTAAAATAACGGGGACAAAAAATTTAATTTAAAGGTTGAAAAATAAAAAAAGACGAGCCAAAAGTGTCCCTAATTGTGTAACTAAATTTACTAAAATGTTTTACCGCATTTAAATCTGCTAAAAAATGTCATTATTTTACAGATATTTGCCATTTTTTGCACCATTTTTTACAGTTTTTGAATTTTACAGTATTACATTTTTAAAAAAAAACCTTTTTGGCACTCTTGCTGCTAAATTTTTTTTTTTTTTCTAGCAGATTTTTAAAATATTTTTTCCCAGTATAGATGAGCAGAGTGCTGTACGAACAACAGGATTATTGTAGCAGCTTTTCATGCAATAACATTCGTCAGTGTTGTTTGTCAATTTCTTTTTTTCAGTTTAGATTTCTTAACATCTGCACACATCAACAAATCCCATCATCAGTCATAGTAAAGTCACATTTTTAATATGTGTTGAGTGATTTTTACATAAGCGAGAAACACTTGTAGGATTAGAATTTGCTGCATCAGAAGTGGCTCCATGTGTGAATCCAGGGTATTACATTATATAACAATGTCTACATAAGTTCCCAGAATCCCAAGATTCTGGTCATTTTAAGCTCAGAGATGTGTTGTTTTAAAGACACCGAATGGAAAAGAAAATCACTTTTATGTCTGTACTTTGCGGTCTGTCCAGCCCGTTTGGTAAAGACCTCTCAGTGTAACACAACAGCTCAACAGCGGCACATTCTACAACCTCCAAAATGACCATAAAGTTGAGTAAACACCCCCTTAAACACCTTTAATTAAACATTTAAATATTTCACCCTTCACAGAGGAAGGATTTACTGCCAGGCCGGTATGCTGGGTGCGCTGAGGTTGTGCATCGCTCACAGGCCAGCGGTGATTTGCAACTTCCCACATGCCCACGTACGGAGTGGACATAAACACTCAGGATGTTTTATCCTCGCCTGTCTGCTGCCTTTAGTCTGACGTAATTTACAAGAGGCTTCTGACACAGTATTTGGACTGTATCAGCTCATGGCAGCGCTGCTTGTGCTCCCATTCAGATGCTTGACATGCAGCAGTGCGTAGGCCGGTACTTAGCATTGTCAGAGTAATTTAAAGCATTCTGTGCACAAATTCAGTCCGCTCACACCCTCTGTCTTCCTATCTGACAGCATGTACGCTGCTGTACGCTAATGAAAGCAGCTCCTCACATTCCAGGTATGATTGGGGGTTTTTTTTGTTTTTTTTTCGGCTGTAAAATGTGTTTGCTTCATGTTTTACAGGTCCGGTGTGCGCCGGTGTGGTTGGGCTGAAAATGCCCAGATACTGTTTGTTTGGAGACACTGTCAACACAGCATCCCGAATGGAGTCCAACGGAGAGGGTGAGTGTCGCCGTCGCTGGGCTTTTGTTCCGGCGTGCTTCTTTCCCTTCTGGTGTCTGATGGATTGTAAACACAGATCTGGAATTTGAACAGGAAGGAACATGTTTCTACACAAATCGGTGCGCCGGTGACACTGTTGTCATTATCTGACTTTACGAGGACTTTGCAGCTCGTTCGTCTGGGCTGTCAGATTGTTGTAGCTCTGGCATCTCTTTTTACTTTCCCTTTTTGAGAAGTTTTTCCTTTTCTAAACCAACAGTCTGAGGATAGAGGGGAGAAAGACACATCGGTGTTTTTGGATTATGTACACATCTAGTATAACTTCTACAGTTGGGACATTATTTATTGAAAAATGGTGTAAACAAGGAGGTTATTCCTGCACATACATATGCAAAAGAGCTACTTTTAAAGGCTAAAGGTTGGCATTTTTCAAAACATTTCAAACTTTAAGCAAATTCTATTTTAAAAAGCACTGAAAAATTAACCGATTGATCAAAAAGTGGATTTACAGACAACAAGATCTTTATTCCTCTTCGATTAATATTTGCTAAAACTAGTTTTAACAAATATTAATCGAAGAGGAATAGAGATTGAATTCGTTGTGGACTATTTTTAATTTGAATTATTACTCATTTGATGTATGTGGGACGGATTCAGGATAAAAAATTTCACTGTGGTTCATGGAAATGTCTTCACACAACAATGGAGCTTCATGGCACAGAGGAATAGTAAGATATTAGGATTTAGAAATTCAGATGTATTTTTAGTGAGAATTTTATCTTTTTTTTTAGTCTATGATGAACAATCTGTAGTGTGTTCATCATCATCCCAGTAAACAATAACTACGTGGTTACGTCTCTGTCTTTACTAGAACTGTCATTTTTTCTCCTACCTTTGCCAAAGCATCTGTTAATGTGGTCGGATCAGTTTAAAAAAAAAAGATTTCTAAGCTGCAGATGAGAAGCACCGACCTGCTGAGTGTAATACCTTCCACACTGACATTTTTGTTTTTAACTGCCAGTGACAGGCGCTGCTGTTATAAAACGGCGGTTTGATATTTTGCGAGTGAATCATCAGATGTATTGATTAACTACTGAGTCGCTTCCTGTATTGTGCCTCCTCCTGGTAAATAATTGATAGCACTTACAGCTGAGGGCCCTTACCCAGCGATATACTGTACAACCTGAAGCTCCGGCAGCGTCTCGTATCTCTGCACGCTGAGCATTAAGTGGACAAAACAGTACAGGTTTTCGTCACGTTAGCGTTTCGACTGCTGACGGAACCGAGAGCATCTCTGTCGAATATTGAATTAGAAGCAGTTTTAGCAGATATTAGGAGTTGTCACTTGACATTTACACTGAGTAAATGCTCCATCGTGTGTCTTGCAGCCTTAAAAATCCACGTTTCCTCGGCCACCAAAGAAGTGCTGGATGAGTTCGGCTACTTTGATCTCCAGTTACGAGGAGACGTAGAAATGAAGGTAAGAGACTCATCATCATGCTAAGCTCACACTGCAAAAAGCATGTTTAGTTTTTGCAAATTTTCACCACAATCAGCACAATTACACTTAAATTAAAAACAAAAAGAAATGGAAGAAAATGTGCATTGGAAACATATAACATAAACTAAATAAATGCAAAGAATCACACTCTGCTTCATGGATAAACCTACAACTAATCATTTGATTAATAGCTGACACCATAAAGTCAGCGCTGTTACATTTGTTAAATCACATATTAACTTGTAGTATCACATTAAAACATATTAATTTACATGTTTACCATAAAAACAAAAGTTTCTATAATCTGATTTTGTATTAACACTGTTTTTGCTGTACCTAAATCAGCAAAAAAAAATCTTATTTTAAAGACATTTGCCGTCATTTGAAAGAATAAAAATGTTATATTAAGGACTGAAAGTGATAAATACATTTTAACTGTTATTTTACATATTCTCCTTGTTTAGTTAAAATAACAAATGGAAAGAATTAGACGCTGCTTCATGGATAAACCTACAACTAATCATCTGACTTACAGTTTACACCATAAAGTCAGCGCTGTAGCTACGACTGGGGGACACTGAGGTTGAGTTTAACGGCCTCAAGAGGTGGAATCAATATCGTTAAATGTGACAGCTTTTAGGTAAATAAGTAGAATTTAGTGCTTCTGCTACATTCCTGTTAGCGCGGAGAGTTTTTAAAGCTGCACCTCTGGCAAGAAAAATCTAAATTGTTGATTTATTTTCTGTTTCTGAGTAACTGTTCAGGGAAACAAGATGCAAAGTTTACAGCACAAAGAGCATTTTTTATGTACACGTCGCTGGATTGTGCACTGATGCGTCATTTTTGGGGTAAAGTGGAGGTGCAAGCAGCTTCAGGGTCAAGTTTAAATGAAGGGCAGCCTAATAGATGATATCAACGCCCTACCCACCTCCCCCCCTCCTCATCTCCATTGATGAACCTATTGATTTCTGTGTTTTTCCAGGGCAAAGGCAAAATGAGAACGTATTGGCTTCTTGGGGAGAAGACTGATGTGTATGTTATCTGAGAGGCCTGCTGATAATGTGGCAGCAGCAGCAGCGGTGGAGGCGACAGCAGAAGCTCCGCTACTTTATTTGTTCTAGAATAAGTCCTTAAATGGTGATTTCCCTGCCGAGGAAAGGTGAACGACACCGCAAAAAAATACATAAAAACAACAGCAACCCAGAGGGAATTCCAGGTATATTTATTACCTGCATACTGTAAATGCAAAAAAAAAAAAAAAGAAAAAAAAAATGTAAAAGTTGTTTTTGTATGAAGAATTTCTGTCCTAAGAGTGGGTACTTTTCACGGATAAATTCTTATTTTTTGTGCTTTCTATATTAAGATTTGTATAATGTGTTTGGAAGTCAATGATGTCTTACTATTTCCTTAAAAAATACAAATAAAAAAACACATCCATTGAAGTTTTGGAGGCACAGCGCTGCAATCAGTGTCACTGCAGGGGTTCATCGACCGCGTTACACAGTACAAGATAATATGTATATATGTATATCCAAGATACTGTAAAATATTTTGTTCAATAAACTGAGTAAAACCCTCTTTTTTCATTTACAGACCTGGTCGTATTTTTATTTTTTATTTTTAGATATTAACTTTAGTTTCAGCACTGATCATGTATCTGGGCCATATCCTCCTGACAATACTCACCCAAATGTTTTCATCCAATTTTGACCCAGAAAGAATTTATAAATGACCTTGTGCTGTCCCCCCCCTCCCCGAAATATTGGGTGTCCCTCTAGGATTGCACATTTAAGAGGCAGAAAGTCAGCAGCCAGTTTAGCAGAGGGGAAAGTCTACCTGAAATAACCTTTTGAGAGCTTCTGTTGCAATTAAGCTGCACCTTGAAAATGACAAAATGTCAGCTTTGTGGCAATTAGTTCAGCTTTAGCCAGTATATATATATATATATAAACACATATTAACATCTTTTCACTTTATCAAACCACCATTATGTCATTATTATAGTTTAAAATACAACGAGCCAAGAGAAAAAGAGCATCATGTATCTGCAGGCTAATTAACTGCGAGCAGTTGTGGACAGATCAGAGAAGAAGAAGCGAAGGAGAGCGAGTCGGTAGCAGGCAGCTGTGTTTTCGTGGTAATGACATCACCGCTCATTAGATGCTCATTATCAGTTTTGGAATGAGTGCTGTGTGTGCGTATGTGTGTGTGTGTCTTTGTGTGCTCGCTCTGTGTTTGCGTTTTCATCTCTGCAGGAGAACATCTTCCCCTCCTGCACGGCTGTAATTACCGCCCACTTTCTCGCCACACTGCCGGCGCCTGTTAGAGCCAAAGCGAAGGTCTCTGCTGAACCCCGCGCTGACCTGCTAACTTCTCTCAACTGACCGGGCTGTCTGTCATCTTGTCGTCGCTTTATTTTTATGCCTTTTTCATACTGCCGAGACCTTGGAAGTACAAAGCCCTCCTCGGAGCGCGCTGCATCGAGTGTGCATAAGTCGAACCGTTCTCAGAATGGCTTTAAATATCTGGAACATCTAAATTCATGGAGAGATTTTGTGTTTTTTTTAAGCTTTGCTAACTTGCGAGTGAACATTTGGTGACTCCCAGGTGAATTAACATGTCTGGCCACAATCACAGAGACATTTAGTTGTGTTGAGGGCAGATTTTTGAGGATTTTGGAAACCTGTTTCTAACATCACTGGCAAACTAGTTAAAAAAAAAAAAAACAACTGCTTTACATTGAACACACATAAAAAAATACATCTTCTAACCTGAAGGTGACCTCAGCGGGTCATCTGAGGGTTCACATCAGAGACAGAAATGCTGTATCTATGTATCTATTGTGTGGCATACCTATACATAGAGCAGAGGGACACAAGTGATATTAACCAGGAGAAAACACAAGTGAAAATTACTGGATCGCGTTTCATTTGAAATGTTAAGTACAAATCCGCTCCAAGGTCCTGTGTTTTCAGAAGCAAATTGGTTTTCCTCTATCACCCCCTGAGATAATGAAATGTTTGGAGAGAAAAGCTGCATAAATATAAGCTAAAATTACTTGTCACCATAGCTACCGCCTGCTAATCCCTACTGAAAGCTCAGAGCAGAACTGTACGGGCTGGAGCGGTCCTCTGATTGACAGAACACATCTGTGACATGAACGGTGATTCCCGACAACGTAAAGTTACACAATCTGTATGCTGCGCAGCCATGTGAGTGCACATCTGTTGTTCTTTTCTTTTTTCTTTTTTTTTAACCTTTATTTGTTGGTGGCAGCAGAGAGAAATAGGGAATGACATGCAGAAAATGTTCTGGCCAGCTCAGGACATTCGCACCCCGTTTAGTATCGGTTCTAACTGCCACGTTATCTGGCCCCGTTAGTACAGACCTCTATAAAGGTGGTGAAGCACTCGTCTGTGCTATTTTTCTTGTTATTCTGCTCAAGGACGACAGCAAGATATTCACTCGGTGTAGGAGGAAAATGTGGCTTCTGGTTGCTCAGCACCGTTTGATTGCAATAATTAGAGGTTGCAGAAGGCAACAGAGAAATTATGGAAAAGGATGAATGGAACTTGTAAACAAACCCGGGGCCAGGCAGCATGAGGAAGCAGCATAAACACCAGTTAGGTGCAGGTACAGAAAGTACTTCAGTTTTCATCATTTTTCCCCCCGTCTGGGTTTCTGTAACGTCCTTTACGCAGGTATTACTCAGGCTTCCCTTCATCGCCGTCAATTGGTTCAAAATGCTGCTGCCAGAATCATCACCGCTTCAAATAAACAGCATCATTTAACTCCCATTCAGGCCTCCCTGCACAGGCTCCCTGTTTGCTTTTGCACTGATTTCAGAATTTTACTGTTGATTTTTATGGCCTTATATGACCAATGCTGCTTATATGAAGGATCTACGAGCTTTCTGCTTATTCCCAGAGGCCAGCTGGTGGTCCAGGCCCCATGGAACTACAGTTAATGTTGTTTACAGTGCACATAAATATAGTTATTATTGGAAAGTCTAGTCACAGAATTAAACAGTCAGCCTCATATTCTACTGCAGAGTGCTGTAATCTGTTAGACGGTAATTAACTGTTTATATAAATTACGATTGTAACACTAAAAATACTTTTACGAGAAAACTTCTGACAGTGCAGACAAATAGATGTGATTCAGAAACTAATTTTCTGTCTATTACTGGCTCATTTAGCCTGACTTTATGATTGCCTCAACACTGTAAAATGAGTCACACTGTGGTATTTTGACACAAACCAGTTTTGTCAGTTGGTTCTTTGCAGTTCCACAAGTAGATAAGTTACTACTAGTACATAAGGACTAGTTTGTGTGGTGCAATGCACTTTAATCTGGTGACGTATAAATCTCCAATTCATACAATTTAGTTCAAATTTATACCAAAAGTAAGCCTGAGCATAAAATTTGGAGCAGCTGGCTGCTGCATTGATACCTTCCATTCATCTCCTTTTTGTAACTCTGCTCATCCAAGCTTTCCAATTCATGAAAATGTTCCCATGTGCTGGATAACAGGTGCATGAACAGCAGCACAAAACTTAAATTTAGTTGCATAAGTATCTTCATAGGCAGTATGTTGTGTGTTTGTTTTCAGCTACAGATATCAGAGTCACTGAGACGAGTGCTGGGAAACGGAGTAAATAAAAGAGATGGCTAGGAGTTAACGAAGAATTAAACGTAACCTTTAAGGGAACCTTTGTAGTGGAAATAATACTCTGACATACTGGCTCAGTCGTCAGCTGGGAGCTCGGGTTCATCCAGCCGCTCGCCGATGGGAGTGCTGAACTTGGTCGACTTCCCGAAAGGTGCTCGAGACGTCTGAGCAGCCGTCACACCCTGAGAAACAAAACAACAAGAGAAGAACGTAACGCTGGGATCAATTATTTAATGGTTTCTTGGGTGCAACATGTTCTGAAAGCAAGTTAAAGAAGATTCTGACACAAAATAATCTGCATGCAAATACACGTTGCACTGAGAGGCAATAATGGGGGGAAAGAGCTTTGAATACAGAACACATAATCATCATCCCCTTGACCTTGGCAGATAAGTGCAACTCTTCTTAGAGCTGCTGCTGCTGCTGTATTCTCTTCTGACATATTATATGGTGCCATTAGTGACTGTACGTTATTTTTAAAAGAGAAAATACAGCACTAAGCACAGACAGACTACAGACCTGAGTGTTCATCGTCAGACAGAGACATCCATCCATCCATTATCTATACACCTCTTAATCCTCACTAGGGTCGCGGGGGGCTGGAGCCTATCCCAGCTGACTTAGGGCGAAGGCAGGGGACACCCTGGACAGGTAACCAGTCTATCACAGGGCTATACTTAGAGACAGACAACCAAGCACACTCACATTCACACCTATGGACAATTTAGAATCACCAATTAACCTCAACATGTTTTTGGACTGTGGGAGGAAGCCGGAGAACCCGGAGAGAACCCACGCTGCACGGGGAGAACATGCAAACTCCACGCAGAAAGATTCCGGTGCCCCCACCGGGACGCGAACTGGCAACCTTCTTGCTGCGAGGCAACAGTGCTGACCAACTGCGCCACCCTGCAGCCCCAGACAGAGACAATTACTCTGATATGGATCATGCACCTTCTGGCCCATAAATAAATGGCTTTAAAGAGATTGAAATTATTTGATAACCCCAAAAAAAAAAAAAATATATATATATAATGAGAATAAACAAAACAGGACGGTATGTATAAAGGACGAGTACAATGTGACTCACCTGTATCCGCTGGTAATTTTCACTCCAGAATGAAATGGCCTGGTCACTTTTATAATCATGAACCTGAGAAGGAGACGAGAACACACTGTCACATCACCTGCACCGCGAGCCTCGTGTTCTCTTTTCTATTCCGAAGCAGCGCGAACTATTTTAGGACTACGATGATGTACGTGTGATGTGAATTATTTTTGGTGTTGTGCTTCTCGCAGCCCTCTTTGTGTTTGTACCTCTTCTGTTTGTTATGCTGTTTTCCTTCTGCTAATGAAAAATGGGGCCGTGCAGATGTGGGAACATATAAGAAGAAAAATACACCAGAGTAAGAAAAAAAACCCCAGAAAATAATCAGGTTTGATATCAGTTGGAGGCTGTTTGAGGTCATTAAGCACGAATTTCACAAACTCAGCGGTCAGCGCAACACAGTGTCATGAAGTAGGATTAATGGGTTAGCTGACTATTTATGGGTTTATCTTAGGTTTTCTGATATCATCGAGCTGGCTCACTTTGAACCGAGGCATGCTGTGCAGCCCTGTGCAATATCACTTAAATGTCAAGTGTTTCTAAATCGTATCACCTCACAGTAATTCCAACACTTCTAAGTTGAATAATGGAGTATTTGCTCTTCTGTAACATTAAAAACTAACACTTTAAAATGTACTGTATTAAAAAGACAGGCCCCACGTTGGGAACTCAGTGCAACAACATCAGTACACCTTTCAGTACTGAGTCTACATTTCTGCTAAACTTCACATGTCCACCATTATTTCTCATGTCTGTCCTCCTCAGCATGGACGATACTGAATTTCTGGAGAGATGTTC